AAATAAGAGATTTGTAAATTGCAAATCCTAGAGATTTGCAGGGCTGAGGCAGGAGGGTGGAAAGTTGAAGCCCCCCCCCCCAACTACAAAGTGAATTCAAGGTCAGAGTGCAACTTAGTGAGATTCTGCCTCACAAAACAAAAAGGAAACAGAGGACTGGATGTAGCTCAGAGATAAAGCAATTGTCCGGCAGGAGCAAGGCCCCAAGTTCCACTTCTGGTACCCCCAGTACCCTCACAAAAGGAAAATGAGATGAAGGACACATTGGGAAACCCCACAGAGAAAGAGATTGGAAAATTACAGATGCCCACCCTCTCCACTATTGCTCCCTATGGGAGCCATGGAGAAATAGTAGGCTGGACCAGCTTTGTCCTCGTGGCTGATTCTGGAAGTGGTTCACCCTGGATTTAGCCAAGACCTATTGGTCTTGGCTAAATATATACCTATTGGAGGGTGAGGACAGGTGAGACACCTCCAAAAGCACAGTCCTAGGCTGATGGCCAGGAATTGGACAAGGGCTTCCACAGAACATCCAGGTTATACAGAGAAAATGGGACATTGAACAAAGGGAAAGCCACATGACTGTACTCTGCCACCATGGCACTTAGGTAACAAGGTATCCCACCTCCTCTCTTGGTCATGCTTTGTTAGTCCTCAATATCCAAATAAACATGAATAGCCAGATTTTAGCCACAAAGACAGACAATGGTAGATCAGTGAGGGAAGTTGAGTATGACAGCTACCCCTCACCATCACTGCCATTGTCTTTCCCTGTGACCTCAAGCGTCTTGTGAAGTTTCTTAATAGCATTTTTAAAAATTAACTTCATGGGGACTGGAGAGGTGGTTCAGTGGTTATGTGGTGGCTCACAACCATCTGTAACTCTAGTTCCAGAGGATCCAATGTCCTCTTCTGGCTTTTGAGTGCATCAAGCAGATAAGTGGTACACATAAAAGAAGGCAAAACACCTATACACATATACGTAAAATAATTTTTAAAATGAACTTCATGGCCTGGGGAGATGGCTCAGTGGTTAAGAACACTTGTTACTTTTGCAGAGGGCCCAGGTTCAGTTCCTAGCATCCACATGGTGGCTTACAATTATCCATAACTCCAGTGCCAGGGGATCTGATACTTCTGATCTTCACAGGTAACAGGCATATACATACATGTAGGCAAAACATTCATACACATAGAATAAAATCAATATGTCTAAAAATTTTAATTAACTTCACAATACAGCATAGTGATATATCCTCTGTTTATGTGTGTGTGTGTGTGTGTGTATGTGTGTGTGTGTGTGTGTGTATGTGTGTGTGTGTGTGTGTGTATGTGTGTGTGTGTGTGTGTGTATGTGTGTGTGTGTGTGTGTGTGAGAGAGAGAGAGAGAGAGAGAGAGAGAGAGAGAGAGAGAGAGAGAGAGAGACAGAGACAGAGAGAGAGACAGACAGACAGACAGACAGAGACAGACAGACAAAGAATTGGACCTCATGAATAACAGGCAAGGGTCCTCTACCACTGAGCTATATCTTAATTATGTGTTTGAGGAAACAGGTCTTTTTTCTTTTTTTACTCTGCACGGTAAACTTAGTTGACATGTTTCACTTGATGAATAAATTCCTCAGGAACCAATACGGAAAGAACTTTTTTTATCACAGTTTGAAGCAATTGCATTAAATTCTGTGTCATCCATTCATCCATTCATTTTTCCACTTGCTGAAGTAAAATGTGTTTACACAGGGCTTTGTGTGTACTGAGTACTGTGATGGGAGTTAAAGAGGAGCTACAGACAAGACAGACTTTAGTTCTAGGTGGGACTCACTTTCCAATGGAGAGAGTGACCCTGGCCAAATGGAATCTAGAAACAGTGAGAGGAAGGTTCCAGAACAGCCAAGAGAGTGATCTTGGGCTGGGCTGGGCTGGGCTGGGCTGGGCTGGACTGGGCTGAGCTGGGTGGTCTTTGAAGTCTGAAGAAATAGGTCTCAGACAGGGAAGGAAGGGTGCAGGAGCTTTCTGGACAGTGGAAACAATCTTCCCTGGGGCAGGGGCAGAGGCCTGGAGGCACATAAGATGGAGCTTTTCAAAGGCTAGAAAGGAGGCAGTATGACTCTCATGCCAAAAACAAGTGACTAAAGGTGTGGAAAGGATGGGTTAAGGGTGTAGCAGGATGGATGGCAAGTCTGAGAATTTGTCCAGAAGTAAGTCTAAGCAGGAGGGTGACAGATATGACTGATCAAGAGTTCACCCTGGCCACTGACAGGAAGCATGCATCAGTGTGGAAACTCCAGTTGGGAGCTGGGTGCAGAAAGCCAGGAGATAGAGCATGGTCTGAGGTGAAGAGCTGAAATCTTCAGTCAACTGGCTGTACGCACCGACACCACCCATGTTGGCACTTCAGAAATGGAAGGGCCAGGTGGGGTGTCTGAATGGAAGTGTCTATGTGTCCAGACATGAATTACATGGAGGAATCTCTTTGACAGATTCCTAGGATGGGAAAGGACATTCTTAATATCTCCCAGGCCTGAATTTGTCTTCACCATTCCCTGCTGAAGGGGTCCCTGAAGGAGGCCTCCTTCCCCTTTGTGGGGAGCCCCAGTTCACCTCTCCCTAAAGAGTTCACCTAGAGGTATGAGTTCTGTCCACAGGACACCCTCTGTTCACACCATTCCACACATACAGAGATTTGATGGCCCCTTTACTGCAAGTTTTGGTCATCCATTCTATATGGGCCAAGCTAACTAAGGCTATAGCTGCAATTCTAATCCTATAATACTTTAATTATCTCCTTAGATCATATATCTGACCCCACATACACATGGGGTTATATGTACATGTTAAATGTATATGTGTGGGGTTATATGTACATGTTCATGTGGGCACGTGTACATGTGTGTAAGTGCTCATGCTCCTTTGTGTGTACAGACTAGAAGTCAACTTAGGGTGTCTTCATTAATTATTCTCTGGTGTGTGTGTGTGTGTGTGTGTGTGTGTGTGTGTGTGTGTGTATGCAGGTATGTGTGTGTGTACATGTGTATGCAGGTATGTACCTGTGTATGCATGTAGGCCAGAGGAGGATGGCAGGCATCTTGTTCTACCATTCTCTACCCACCTGAGACAGGGTTTCTCACTGAATCTGGAGCTAAACTGGTGGCCAACAAGCCCCAGGGATCTTCCTGTCTCTAGCCCACTCTTCACAGCCCTAGGGTTACAGGTGTGGGTGTTATGGCTAGGTTTTGGTGTGGATACTAAGAATTTAAACTCCATGTTCTCACACTAGAACAGCAAAGCTCCCTTTACCCACACAACCATTTATCTAACCTCTCCCCACATTTTCTTTGAGACAGGATCTCACACTGAACCTGGAACACATCGATTTGCCTTGGCTGGCTGGCCAGTGAGCTCCAGGAATCTGTCTGTTTGTCTTAAACAAACCTCCCAGCACTGGGGTTACAGATGGGCGACACCATGGCTGACTTTTAATGTGGGTGCTGGGATCAGAACACAAGTCCTCATGCTTGCTTGCTTGCTTGGCAGGATCTTTACTAACTGAACTATTGTTTCATCAGCCCTCCCTGAGGCTTTTTTACACTGATGTCACTGCTGAACTGGTTTCCACCCCCCACTTTCTCTGGTGCCAGTGATGTTGGGGTACAGCTCAGGCAAATGTTACCCATATCCTCATCTAGTGAGTTCCCTCTCTCCATCTTTTAAATTCCCCTCACCAGTATCATTTAATGAGCCTGGAACCATTATAACTAAAATTAGTCCCAAACACCCCTGGGCACCTTATCAATAAGGTTCTCAGCACAGGAGGGGTAGTGTTAGGACTAGGACCAGGATAAGAGAATTGTTCCCTTCATTTCCCATTCTGTTCTTGCAAACAATGGGAGGGATGGCCAATTCATTCCAATTGATAGCCTGTTGACCATGCCACACTTGAATAATTTAGTTCTTTTTTCAATGTCACCAGTAAACAGCCCCCTCCCCTAATCAGTCCTTCAAGATACCAACATGGCCATTGGGCTTAATCTTCTGGCCACTGCCAGACACATGGTGTCACCTCCGTCAGGTCAAGCCACTAATTGGGGCTGAACAGCTGAACTCTGTCCCCACTCCAGCTCAAGAAATGAAATACGAAACACAAGCGGTCACATCTAACCCAGCAGTCCCAACCGGTCTGGTTCTGGGTGGCTCTGGGTGGCTCTCACCAGAACTTCCAACCTTAACAAAACCAAAGACACCCAGTGTACTCTGAGGGGCACACCACCCATTCATCGTGCGTGTCTCACAAACACTAATGAACGATGAAATTTTTAGCTAAGTTGCAGGAGGACAGAGGGGATCCCTGGAAGATGAAGTTTAAAGAGAATTTTTACTTAAACGCATGCAGGGAGACGCGATAGAAAAATCTAGATGCTGGCCTCAGGCACAACGTTTTTTATGTGCTAACGGGACTAGAGGCCTCCTGCACAGGTGGGGGACTGCCACAGCCTCGTGGCTCTGTGGATACTATAATAGTTCATAGAGCGGCTGGGAGAGGTAAGACTTAAACAGAAGGAAAACCATCTCAGCAAAGTGGAGCCAGGAAGGAAAAGGGGAATCAAGAAAGCGTGTGAGCGGGGAGCAAGGGAGAGCCTGGGAGGGGGCGCAGACTCTCCCTATGTTCTTTTCTGCCAAAGGTTGACTGACTTGTTTCAACCTGGCACCCGCGTGGCCCAGAACAAAAGCGCTCGCCTGGGCCTCCGCGTGGGGAGAGGGACCGCGCACACCTTACAGTGTGCAGGAGGCAAGCAGGTCAGCTGCTGGTCACAGAGGGGGAAGCACAAGGGTGGGATTGGGAGAGGTAGAACAGTGTGCCACCACTGTCCCCATCCAGCCTGACACACATCTGGCGCAGGTACTCGTGTCCTGAAGCGCTCTCAGGGGTGACAGAGGTTCAGTCTTAGGAACCCAGTTGGTGGTCACGCTCCAAGTACGGGCGCGGCACGGTGCCACTTTACCTGAGCGCAGAGGGTCATCCGGAGAAGCCATGAAGACCGAGAGACGAGTGTCCGAGCGGGGCTGGGCAGCCTCTGGGACCCCAGAGAACAGCAGGATCGCCGGGACCCAATCTCCTGCTGTGGCAACGCGCGATTCTAAGGCTCTGTGCGCTGCCCTGCTGCTGCTCCTTCTCCTCCCTTCCCTCCTCTTGATCTCTGCCACTTCTTCCTCGTGCTCACTTCCTGCAATTAGCAAAGCCCCTTCTCGGCGCAAGCGTCTCTCCAGAAGTCTGGAGAGGATCCCGTGGTTGCGGTTAAGCACGAGAAGACTCGGGGGGGCCCGGAGCACGTTTCCTGTCGGTTCCTGGGGCCTAGTGCGCAGGTCCCACGATCGGGGCACACGGGATCGCAGCTGGAAGGGCCTTTCGGCCAACCTTGCACCCGCTGCCACACGCGCGAGTGGCTTTCCTGGTTTCTAATCTCGCTCTCAGCTAGGACACCAAAGCGCTCCCAGCGAGCTTCTTGCACAGGCCCGGGCTGGGACGCCTGCCGGCGATCTGATGTTTGAACAGTTTCCTAATCTTCAGGCAGCCTGAACGGCTGCATGACCGCACACGCTAGCACTTTCTATTTTGATGTTTCTTTGGCATTAGTTACTGCCTGACCTCCTGGGTGAGCGCTACACAAAGGATCGGGAAGAAAAGCCAGTCGCCAGGTCTCTTGCTCACTCCTCTGGAGGAAAAACAAACAAACAAACAAAAACAAAACAAAAACCCCACAGTGTAGAGTTCTGTCAAAAATGCAGAATCCACTGGCCCTTGAACGAATTGAGATTTAGTTTAAGTGGGATTTTATGCTAAGTGAGCAGAGAATGTGATCCTTTAAAATGGCTATATTTCTATATCTTACTTTAATTTAAAACTTAAAGTTATTTTTAAACCACATGGGGGGGGGGTATTTACACGTGAAAGCAGTGCCTACAGAGTCCAGAGAGGGCTTTGGATTTTCCCGGAGTTGGGGTTGCTAGGAACTGAATTTGGGTCCTCTGCAAGACCAATAAGCACTCAATGCTAAGCCACCTCTCCAGCTTTAGTGGCCGTATTTTCTTTTCTTTTCTTTTCTTTTTTCTTTTTCAACACAGGGTTTCTCTGTGTAGCTTAGGAGCCTGTCCTGGCGCTCACTCTGGAGACCAGGCTGGCCTCGAACTCACAGAGATCAGCCTGCCTCTGCCTCCCGAGTGCTGGGATTAAAGGCGAGTGCCACCAACGCCCAGCCTAGTGGCAGTATTTTCACTAGCTGTATCTGCCTTATACAAAGGTTACAGACAATTTAAATTTAACAGGAATCTCTGAAAGGTATCTTAATAATCTACATCGGCCCTTGAACAGGACCATAGCAAGGAACTTACTCGGAGGTGGTTTGTGGGATTGTAAACATTTACCAAAATCACAAACAAGAAAATATCTAGGGACAGTGGGTGTGACTCAGTGGTAGGACATATGCTTAGTATGCTGTGGTGTGTTGGTTTGATACCAGCATTGCAAGAAAAAGGAAGGAAAGAGAGAGAGAGAGAAGGTGAAGGAAGAACGAGAGAAAGGAAGAACAGGAGAATAAGGAGTAAACCAGTGGTTGTCCCACAAGTAGGTGGCTGTCATGCAGGACACATTTTCCAGACAATTTAGGCTACTGAGAAGAGCTTTTGTTTACTTTAGTTTTTTTTATTGTTCTGTTTTGTTTTTCAAGACAGGGTTTCTTTGTGTAGCTTTGGAGCCTATCCTGGCACTTGGTCTGGAGACCAGGCTGGCCTCAAACTCACAGAGATCCACCTGCCTCTGCCTCCCAAGTGCTGGGATTAAAGGCGTGCGCCACCAACCCCCAGCTTTTAGTTTTTAAAAATTAAGTATAAGTATATCATCTTCCCTTCCTTCTCCTGCCTGCAATCTCCCCCCTTCCCATGCCCCTCTTTGCTCCCTTCCCAATTCATGCCTCCAATTATTCTCTCTCTCTCTCTCTCTCTCTGTCTCTCTCTCTCTCTCTCTCTCTCTCACACACACACACACACACACGTATGTATATATTTATGTATGACCTTCTGGGTCCTTTTAATGTTTCTCGAATGTATGTGATTTCATTGATGACCAGTTGGTACTGGATAACCAATTAGTGGGCTCATCCCTGGGGAAGACTATTTCTCCCAATGTCAGCATTTTTTTAGTTACTTTCAATTCTTTATCTAGGGGTGGGGCCCTGTGAGATTTCCCCCTTCTACTTTTGCAGGTCTGTTGGTGTTGTCGCTGTTCAGGTCTTGATTAAGCAGCCATATTGTTGGGGTATCATGGGTGTAGCTTCTTTGTCATTTCTAGGAGACACAATCTCATAGCAGACTTAAGCTTTTATTGTCCTTTTCCAATTAATGTCTCAATATGTTTTGTTTTTACAAGGCAAGATAGATGGGGATAGATGATAGCATCTATTCATTGATGATTTTGAAAGGGGTTGAACCTAGGCCTTCATTTTAGTTTTTATTTTGAGATAGAATCCTGATGAGTTGCCCAGGCTGGGCTTGAACTAATACTTTAGCCCAGGCAGCAGTCCTGAACTTGCCATTCTTCTGTGTCAGAGGTTCTGGGATGACAGTCCTATACCACCAGGACCTGCAAATATTTTCTTAAATTTGATTCCATACACCAAGCAAAATTCCAAGCTCTGAGGCTAAAGAGATGGCTCATGGTTTAACAACATGTATTGCTCTTTCAAAGAACCTAAGTTTGGTTCCCAGCACTGTTGGTGAAAGTTTCTGTTCTGCCTGGTCCAGCAGCTGATTAGCCCCAAATAAACACACAAAGACTTACATTAATTTATAAACTGTTTGGCCTATGGCTAGGGCTTCTTACTGGCTAGTTCTGTCTTAATTATTAACCCATTTCTATTAATCTAAGTATTTCCATGTGCTCTTGGCTTACCCGGTAATGCCCCGGCATGTTACTCCTTCTGCCTCTACATAGTGTTCCCTGGTGGCTCCTTTCTGCTTTCCTCTCCGTAGCCTTCTCCTGGTCTGGTAGCCCTGTCTATGCTTTCTGCCTGGCTACTGGCCAATCAGTGTTTTATTCATCAACCAATAAGAGAAACATATATACAGAAGGACATCCCCCATCACAGTACCTGTGCCAGGTAGCTCACAATTGCTTGTAGTTCCAGCTCCATGAGAAGCCAACATCTCTGGTCTCCACAGATGCACGAACTCACACACACTCTCTCTCTCTCTCTCTCTCTCTCACACACACACACACACAAAACAAACCCAAGAACTGGATGGTCCTTTGTGGTCAAGTACTTGCCTGGCATATGCAAGATTTGAGAATCAGTTCTCACCACTGTCAAATAAGCATCTATGGGGAATTGGGAATGGCTTTGTTGGATAATTAGTCCAGGATATGCAGCTAGTGGTGGAAGAGTGGAGCATTTTGGAGGATCTGTGCACCAGGCAGAAGCATGTAGGACGAGTTTTTACACAACAGGAAGTCGGGAAGCTGGATTTTGGAGTGGCAGAAGAAAATTGGTGTTTTGGAAAGATTAGTTTGGCAGCTGTGCGTACGGGGAACAGGGAAGAGAAGGTAGGCGGGGAACTAATCTTTGCAGTCCACTGTAATTTTTAAAAAGTGTGTGTGTGGTATCTGCGTCTGTGTATAAGTGTGTGTGTGTGCACAGGGTGCATGCAGAGGCTAGAGGGTTCTGCTTCAGATCTTTGAGACAGCATCACACTGAACCTAGAGCCAGGCAGGCAACTAGCAAGCTTCAGTGGTCCCCCTGTCTCCACTCAACACCATCCTGAGGTTCCGGGTCAGTACATAGCCATATGTGGCCATGCCTGACTTTTTTATATAGGGGTGCTAGGATCTCTGGCTCTTTTACTTATTCAACAAATGCTCTTACCCATTGAGCTATACTATCCCCAGACTGTCAAGATACCATAGTTCTTTTTTTAATGATTTTTATTTATATTCTTTAATTACTACTCATATTTACCTATCCATCCCCCCCCATTCCCTCGCCCTCCCATCCTCCCATGTTCCCCACCCCCCCCAACCCATCCCACAACTCCTTCCCAGGGATAGTGAGGCCCTCCACCAGGGACCTTCAAAGTCTGTCATATTATTGGGGGGAGGGCCTAGGCTCTCCTTGCTGTATCTGGGCTGCAATAATATCCCTCCATAGGGAATGGGCTCCCAAAGTCCATTTGTGTTCTAGGGTTAAAGATTGGCTCCACTGTTAGATGTCCCATAGACTGTCTTGGCCTCCTAGCACCCACATTCAGAGGGCTTGGTTTGGCCCAATGCTGTTTCCACAGCTTTATGACTAAGGTCTCCATGTTCTCGCTAGGTCAGGTCAACTGTTTCTACGGTTATCTGCAGCACTGTCTTGGCTTCTTTGCTCATCTCTCCTCCCTCTCCACAACTGGATTCCAGGGGTATGGCTCAGTGTTTAGCTATGGATTCCTGTTTCTGCTTCGAACATCTACTGATACCATAGTTCTTAAAGCAAATTTCTATCTTACCCACATGGGGCTGTTTGAATGTGAAATGTCACTCACAGACTCATGTTTTGATTACTTGATCCCCAGTCAGTGGTGCTATTGGGGGAGGCTGAGGAACCTTTGGGACATGGTGTTTGGCTGGCAGGTCTTTGAGGTTTACAATCCAACCTACTTCCAGTCTGGCTCCCTGCCTCCTGACCCACGTGCCTTTGAACAGCCATGACAGAAGCTCCTCCTCTCATGGATAGAGCCACCCCAGCCACTATGCCTTCCCCATCCTGATGGAGTTTACCTGGTAAAGCCAGGAGCCAATATGAACCTGTGCTCTCTGAGGCTATTCTTCAAAGAGTTCTGACACAGTGGTGGGAAAGGAGCTGGTATGTGGTGGGAATGCATTTGAAAACCCTCAGGGTCCTGATGCTTCTGGAAGCAGTCGTAGCTGAGTACTCATCAGTTGCCTAGTAGATCTGCATGTATTCATAAAGTAATGTGTAAAAAAATTATATTCCAAAATGTTAACCGAGGGACTAAAAACATTTAAAATATCTGTTTTGCTGGTTTGATTTCTGAGTGCGAAAAGCACTATGATTTTTTTTTTTTTTCCAAGACAGGATTTCTCTGTGTAGATCTGGCTGTCCTGGAACTCATTCTGTATACCAAGCAGGCCTCCAACTCCAAGATCCACTGCCTCTACCTCCCAAATGCTGAGGTTAAAGGTGTGCATTGCTACTATCTGGCTTCTTACTTTTCTTAGCATACAAAATAATTTGTGTAAATATGACATTTACATACATATCTGTCATTATGCTTTGCTCACTTGCACTTCCCATTATCCTCTCTTGTCACCCCCAACAAGTCCCATTCCTCCCCCTGTGGTATTCCTTCTGTGTCCCTGTCATATATGTGTGTATGTATGCCATATATAAGAGAAAACATGCAATATTTGACTCCCTCATTCTCTCCATTACCTTCTGTTACACCCTCTATTTAGATCCTTTCTTTTCCGTT